GTTGTCTCCGTCTTACAAATGTACAACATAGCAAAAACTGTTTAGCGAGGGACAAATTTTCACAACACGTAAAGAAGAACTTTATCTGTGCAACAGCGTTCTTATTTTTTAATAGCACTATCCAATCATTTTTTATAAGCAAATAAAAAAAACAAAATGTTTAGAAGCAAATAACTTCTATTGTATTTATGTCAAATATAGGCACGCTGTTGCATAGATAATTTTCTACCCTATATGTTCAGATATTTTGGAGGCACTACTACAAACATAGAAAATAAAAGTTGTCCCTCGCAAAACAGTTTTTGGTATATTGTACATTTGTAAGACGTAGACAACACATGCGGGTGTAACATCATCTTAAGCATATTAATAAAATTAAATAAATAAAGAGTAAGACCTATAGTTACCTCATAAACACAGTATCCGTAAACGAATCAGTTGGTCCATTCCTAAGTGTAGCCTCTGAATCTAGCACTTCTTTAACCCATTCAATAAATGTATAAAGTCTTAAAATACCTACAAAATAATTAATCTTTATTAAATACAAAATAATAAATAGTAATTTAATACCTATTTATAACATTGAAAAATGTAATACCTGCGTCAGCCATATTTTCGACGAAATTGGCGTCTTCAATTGCGTCTCCAGCATCGGCTAGACAAAATCTCATACCATCAGCACTAAATTTATTGACCGCTTCTTCTAACGTCATAAAATTTCCATCCGATTTAGACATCTACCATAAATAGAACATAAATAATATTTAAAATATAAACAATGATACATATAAAAAAAAATCGTTTTACCTTGGCTGAATTTAATAATAAATGTCCATTTGCTCTTATACTCTTAGGCCAAAGATCTGGCCGTTTAGCCCAAATGGCACAATGGTTGTATATAAAGAATGTTAAATGATTCTGAATCAAATCTTTTCCAGAACATCGTAAGTCTACTGGATACCAATATTCAAATTCGTTTTTCATAACATCCAAATATTTTTTATCAATTTTACATTGTTTAGGATAACTTTTATTATCCAAAAATATATAATCCCAAACTTCTGGAGTTAACTCCTCTGGCCTAAAGTGCAAACATAATAGATTGATTCTTTCAAAAAACAAGCACAAACATTTTATACGTTTGGAAATTGTTTTTAAAACAACAAATATTATATTTTTCTTTTAATTATTGAAAATTAACATTAAACATTAACCTGATAATGATTATTTACATTGACTCACTTGATATTATAACTGTTTCCATTTTCTCCTTTGAACGTCCCTTCTTGTAGAAAATGAGCAATAGTATAATAAGCCATATAAATAGTGGAATCAGATAGAGACTCAATTAACCAATATTCGTCCCATGGCAATTTTGTTCCTTATATTTAAGTAAATTGTTTAATTAATTTGCTAAAAGTGGAATTGAAATAGAAAAAAATAAAATATGATTTAATTACCTAATCCATAAGTTCTAGAACAAGCATATTCGTGTAACCAGTTTAAACACGAAGTAAAGTTTTTCCTAACTTCTTCATGGTAAGTATTCATACTCTTTAATGCCAACTCTGCAGCTGCTTTCCACTCCGATTCACCATAATCCAAATACCATTGATCACATAAAGCAATAACACATTCATCGCCAGACCTATAAATCAGTTAAAAATTAACTTCTGAAATTACAAAAATCAAAATGTTTAGCATACCTAGACATTATGGTTTTTTCGGGTTCATAATAAATAACAGCTTCTTTGGAGTCTGTAAGTTTTTTTTGTAAAGCTTTTTTAACATCTTGCACTTTTTGTCCTTTGAATTCTCCAACTATAAGTATCTGAAGTTTAAAATTAATTTAGAAAACAAACAATCCAACAATTTTAACTCAATTAAGACTCACCCCTTCATAAAATGCTTTTAAGTAAACTTTCTCTTTAGCTATTTGTAATTTTTCTTTATCATTTTGACTTTGAATTTTTAATTCATCATACACTGTTACAGCACATAAGTTTCCAAAGTCTGGGATTTCAATAATAGGGATCTAAAAGAAATTACTCATAAACATGATATATATTTTTTAAATATTATTATACATAATTAGGGCTGGGATTGTTTTCCAAAGCTTACTGCGCAATGCTCATCTTGTCAACAATTTGTTTCATGTACTTTTGAATGAGAATAAGAAAGTTTATTTTGCATTTTTTAGAATTTTTTAGTTTTTGGTAATTTTCTTAATTTTTTAGGGCATTTTAGAGTTGTTGGAGTATTTTTTGAGTTTTTAAAAAGAATGAAAAGATTGTTTCAAACAAAGAATGAATTTGAAATTTTATTTCATGTTTTTACACCAACATGATGTAAAAATTTTTTTTTTCCAGATTAAACAAAGTACAAGTCTATGAGATCTAGCTTTGCATTCAACTTTTTTTTTAGATTTATACTAATACTATATATTTACACATGTAATATATTTTTATAATGCATTTTTTTAAACTTTTTATTGTAATTCATTTAATTTTATTTATACTAAAATTATTAAAAATAAAAATTTTAGTAGTGGATAATTTATAGTTTTTAGATTGTAAAAGAATTTTTTTTTAGTGCATTATTTAGAGTTTTTAGGTCATTTTTCAGGGTTTTTAAGGGCATTAAAATCCCAGCCCTATACACAATACAGATCTTACATAATAAAATATGTATTAAAAGTAAATTTAAAATAATATTTATTGGTCCTGTTTAAAATCTCACAAAAATTACTCACAGGTTCAAATGGAAGAACCATCTCATCAGTTATATTATATTTTTCACGGAATGCCGGTTTCTTTTTTAAATCAGTTAAAGCTGCGTAATCATCAGGTGAATCGGAAGGAACGCTTGTAACAACTCCAGTGCCTTTATCAGGCTTAATCGATAACATAGGTAGGGTATAAATAATGTCATTAAAACTTAGTGGAGCGTTCAACTTTGCACCTAAAATATCCTAAAATATGTGTAAGTGACACTATTATTAAAATATAAATGGTTTATTGTTTAATATTACTTGTCCTTTTAGCTTGATGATGATTTCATATTCTCCATTTTTGGCCGTGAACCCTTGATATGACATGTTCTTTGCAGCTCTTTCACTACATACGAAAATACTTTCGTCATTTAATTTAAAAGCAACATATTCCAAGTCAGGGTGTACCCAGCAATTAGTCTGACCATACATTGTCTCTGGCCGTAACGTAGCAGCCACTAAAAATACTGGTTTATTTTTTAAAGACCTAAAACAGATAATTTGTAAATTAAGCATAATTATAATTAATATTTCATATAATATAAATAATATAGTAATACTTTTTGGCGAATTTGAGTTTTTCAGGATAGGGTTTAACTACTCTCATTTTAACTAAAGTATATTCTTGAGGACCAACGCCTTCACCTTTAGATCGGTCATGGTCCATACACGGCTGTTTATCTTTTGGTGAAAATACAGTATACCGTTTTCCAAATTTAATTTTATTACTATCACGAAGGCGTAAAAATTGCCAACGAACAAAACTATCAAAAAATGGATTTTCATTTGTAGTTATGAATGTTCTGCGCCAATCGACCTAAATATTAGAATCAACACTTAGTGAATTTATAGAAATTGTACAAACATTTAATTTAACATGCTTACATGAATACCAATACTCTTAAGATCGTTAACTGCTAATAGCGGAAAATAATTTAACCACGTTAAAGGATCTTCAAAACTTCGGATTTGTTCATCATCTTCAAAACCCAAACTTTTCATGATTTGCCATTGATATTTTGCTTTACTGCCTTTTGCAATTGCTTTACTCTATACAAAAATTCCTATCAGTAAAATGTACATGTTTAAATCATATTTATTGTATCTAATTGTTACCTTTTTGCCTTTACTTTTGTCCTTAATAATATCTGTATTTATTTCGACTTCTATTTCTTCTTCATCATCATCATCTGGGAAACGCGGAGGACAGCCAAATGTCTGAATTTCCCATTTCAATTTATCTGCACACGCCTTGATAGGCATACCGGTACAATGGAAACCAAACGGAAACAAGACTTGTTTACCTTTCAAACGTTGAAATCTGACCGCAAACTAAAATCAGTAAATTTGACATGCCGTTCATTTTTCTATTTTTGAGGAGATATTTAGAGAACAATGTCAATCATACCTCGCATTTTGAAAGGGAAAAAGTATGCCCTAAATGTAGCCTGCCATTCATGTACGGAAATGGAAATGTGGCTAAATATTTGTCATCACCTTTCCTCTTGATATTCTTGGATGGCGGTGCGTCGATTTCGTGAATTTTCTGTTCGTGCCATTGACGTTGGATCTCCCTTTCGATCTGTCGCAGGTACTCTACCTTAACGGTGCCTTTGCGGGTTTCGGTCTAGAAAATTACAAAACTTCCAGTTACGAAGAAGAATCCAATAATAATATTGTTAAACCGATACATACCATGACTGATTATACAAATGCCAACGGTGCTATCTCATAGAAGTAACACACCTGCAGCCAGTTCTAGTTTTTAACAATTCTCAAATAGGTAGGTATTGTTTTAAACTTGGAACTTTAGAAAAACTTTGTTTTAAACTCTGTAGTCTGTACGAAACACGAGTGTACAATGCGTCCGATTTGGCGATTTAGGATGTGGAATGGAACGTGATAACAGTTACTGATAAACACTGCCAATTAGTGATAAACTGATAACAGGAAAACAATTTGTTATCCGGAAAGTCGTTAGATAAGATTACTACATGTATACACGGCCGTCGGCCAACTCGTAGAATTAGCACAACCGGGAGCACAAGCTATATTCTGTGGCACAAGTCACAACTTTAGTAGTTTAGTACTTCACTGTTGAATGACAATTCTGTGCTCATAGTTCATCGACATTCGACCACTCCAGAACGCCTAATCGGGGATCCCAGTCTCAATTTCTGTCACACGATCTCCAACTGTACTACGTCAAGTCGTCAACCGTTCCGGAAAAATGGGGAAAACATTCTCGTGTAAGTCCCGTCATGACCAAAGAAAAATTTGTCGTCAACATTCTACAATATTTTTACCATAAGGAGTGCTCAGGCGCGGTTCTAGGACTACATTTTCGTATGGAAAACAGTAGATTTATTATTAGGTTTTAACTGTGAATAATATTCCTCATTTACTCCCCCTTTCCCAATAAGGGGCACCATAAACTTTTGTATGGGCAGCTGCCCACACTTTCAAAATATAGTATCTTATCTTTCAACAAATTGAATCAAGATGGTAGGTACCACAGAATAGATGAGATTTCATATACTCTGTGATTTTATTTTCGAGAAGTAATTTTTTGATTATTTCAATAGCTTTTTAACGCCACGGGAAAAACCACCAAAATGCCCTATTGCTTAGCTATTTCTTTCCAAGGCTTTGTTTATCACCATTAAAACAAATGCAATTTTTAAAGAATCGCTAAAAAAATTTAAATTTATAATTGTTAAATTTGCTATTGAATATAAACATTATTTATGAATCTAATTTCAAATTGTATAATATTATTTATTAAACATACTATTACTAATTTCTATATTAAAATATATATATTGCTACATAATATACCTAATTACTTTGGATTGGTATTTACATGTTTGGTCTATAAGACCTAAGCCCCGTGGTGGAAAGATTAGCCGATTAGTGAGAATATCAGTTTGGTTCTTATTATTTTTATCTAATTAATTGCCAATTAGTTATTTAATTTAAGCAACCTCATTGGGCTTTTATTATATTTTAATTTAAAAGCCATGAGTTTTCCCCATGAGGTTCCCTGGATAATAATCTGGCCTTTAGATTTTATGAGTGGTTAATTCACTTTAATATTTTAACTAACGGAGCTACACGTGTTTGGCTGAGCGTACAATTTGCTATGTACGCACTTGTAAGATGGAGACAACACAGCGGGTATTACGTCCTCTTAATATAAAACTGTCAAGGCTCCTTTTATCATAATCATTGATTTTTTTTTCTTTATTATAGAAAATATTTTAAATACTTAATTTAACAAGGCCTCTCAGTAATATAGCTGCTGCCCTCAGTTTGAAAAGCACTTTTAAATTCTTACTGGAATATAAAGTTTTTATATTTTAGCCATCATCAAACCCGACAATATATTAAAATTTTGTGACGCATTCTACAATGATGCCAAAACTGTGTTGGCCCAAAACGTCTGTTCTCGCATCAGCCATACAGATGTGAGCACATCAAGAAATAGAGTACAGGAATGCCATCACTATTACACGCACAAGGTTTGACTGATTTCGGACTTTAGATCCAAATAACTTTTATATGTATGTGTTTTTGTCTAGATCGAATTTGAAGGCAAACCAGTAACAAACCAAAAGAAGTCAGGTCGCTGTTGGATATTTGCATGTTTAAATGTGATCAGAGTTCCATCCATCAAACAATTTAACTTAGAAGAATTTGAGTTCAGCCAAGCTTATATATTTTTTTGGGACAAGGTATGGCTTGTATAAAAAGGTTGTATCAATAAAATAAATAATTTTATTTTTATTTATTTTTATTGATTAAACCAACGGCAACACTGGCCATTATTCTTTGATAACTATAATGATGTATAAATAATAATAATAATAATAGTAATAAAATTAAGTATTAGTCAAAAATACAAAAAGAGATTAATTTGATTGAGTTGGCAATTGAGTTTTAATTATTTATTTAAGAAGCTTATTTTAACTTACATTATTAAAATCAAATGTATAAAAAAAGAGTTTGAACATTTATATACCAGATATAAGTCTTTAAGTGTGTATATTATCTACAAAAAAATTCATCATTTAAAGTTTAAACCTTAAATATTCTGAATAAAATGTAAAATAATTTATTGGTTTTTCAATTATTTTATCTTTTATGTGAAAAAAAATGCATCAACCTCTTTCTTAAAATCTAAAATTTTTTATAAATGATAATATTATTATACAGTCTTGACACTTATTTCATTGTCAATTTTCCTCGAGTGTAAGAAAAAATTACAAGACAATAAAATATGTCTTCACAATTTTAAAGTGCAACTAAGTGCATTTATAACTGAACTGTGCTGATAAGTGATTATAATTTATGAGTTATTTTAATATTCTGAGTTATAAAGGAATGAATCAGTTAATATTATGTTTAAGTTAAACATACCTAGTTGTAAAATAATTGATTGTATTATATTTTTAGATTAAAAGAAGCAATTATTTTTTAAATGCAATTGTACAAACCGCTAATCGTGGTGAAACTGTTATTGATAGAACCACTGCTTGTTTACTCACCGTAAGTATAATAAATATACTAATTGGATAATAAAGTTATATTTTTGACATAAAAAAGTTAATTTTATTGACTAAAGAAACCTATTGATGATGGAGGTCAGTGGGATATGTTGGTCAACATCATAACCAAGTATGGGTTGATGCCAAAGAAGAACTTCCCAGAGGCGTTTAGTTGCGAAGCTAGCGATACTCTTAATGTAATACTGCACAGCAAGGTAAATGTCATAACTCATAATTAGTTCAGAGAAGTTATAGGAGGTAAAATTGGAAAAATATGCACATAAAAAATTGAAACAATTCAAAATTCAAGTCCATGGACGAATGGCAAAACATCTGGACCAATTGCAACAATAATAAACTAAGAGAAATAAAGCAATCAGTATTACCCTGGCCCAAACCATTCATAATGTCCAGAAGGGACGAGGTAATCCTAGTCCGCCTGCGGATAGGTCACACCCGCATGACGCACGGTTACCTCATGGCCAAAGAGGACCCTCCCACATGCCCTACATGTGGAACTCTAATGTCAGTCAAACATATCCTCCTTGAATGTCACCAGGTCAATGAAACACGGATCCAACAGGAACTTCCGGGGACCCTATATGAGATACTTGCACCCACTCCAGAGGCGTCCGAAAAACTTATCAACTTCGTAAACAGAACAGAACTGCGGCACCTCATTCAATATCATTATTATTTAAAAAATGTATATATTATATAAGATTATACATTAAGTATAGTATAAGTTAAATCATTAAGTAACTAATTTAATTGTGTTTTAATGTAACGTAATATTGTAAACCCTATGATTAATGTAACACAGGCTAATAACCTTGCAGTTGATGCCTTTAAAAATTAATAAAAAAAAAAAAAAATTGAAAATATGCATTCAAATTCATTAAATATGCAAGATAATATGCACAAAAAAATTAAATTATAATTTAGTAAAATAAAAAAATTACATATAAAAGAAATATAAAAATCATTGCATTGCACAATTAATTTTATTTTAAATAAACTTCGCAAATCTTACAATAAAGCATAGTACCATCGGTAGCAAATGTATCTTCGCCAAACTGTTTCACATACTTGTTAAATATATTTGGATTTATTTTTGGCATTGTGCAAAATGTTAGTAGAAAATATATTTAAAAAAAAATGTAAGCATGGAAAACACAACAAACGGCACGCAGTTTCGTATCGAACGATACTTAACACCATACTAACAAGATTACTGACGGACAGTGGACTCAGGACACATAATAATGTTAATATAAAATTTAATATAGATACTTAAATGCCAATCAGTCAAATCTTATCTTCGATAACATTATCCGAATGCCCACCTAAAATATGTGGGTACCTCTAATATAGTACATAGTCTACACGGGCATCGGGTTCGGGTGGTGTACAATGTATATATACTATACAGTATATAATAATACCATACAGTTTTTATGTAAAATATGCATGAAATATGCACAAAATAACGAAATATGCAATTTTTTTTTTAAATCTTTAAAATATGCAAAAATATGCAAACAAAAATTTTAGATTTCAACTGTGGGGCCTATGACTTATATTTATATCTTGATTTGCTATAAAATAGAGGCCCAGAATAAAATATGCAAATCCTATAACTTCTCTGCCCTACTCATAATTAACAATTTATAGAGGTTTTATAATAAATACATTTTTACATATCAAGCTTCGAGAATTCGCCATCATTTTGCATAAGCTTGTCAGCAATAACGCTACTGACAATGAGATGAGATTAAAGCCAAAATCAAAGAACAAATGGAAGTTATTTATCGAACTGTTGGTATTTGTCTGAGTATACCACCAGCTACATTTGAATGGCAATTTTTTTTTTTTTTTTTTTTATTTATCAATAAAAATTTACAATTTACAATACAAAATTTGAAATTTACAATAATTGATTATCTATCTCTTTTAAGCATAGCTTGAGTTAGAGATAGAGAGTGTAACAATGCTATTCTAAAAAAGGATCAAAAATAATAATAATATATAATTATATAAATAAATAAAATGTGTACAGTTTAGTTAGTTATTTAAATAAAATAATTTTAAAATAAAATTATACATTTTCAAGTTTAATACTTGAAAGTAACTATCTATTAATAAATTCAAAATACAATAATAATTAAACTAACTCTAAGAATAAATACTTATAAACACATTGTTTAACACTACTTTGATGCTGATGGATGTTTTTTTTATACTCATATGGCATTAAGTTGAAATACGTAGGCCCCAAATAGTCCACAAATGATTGACCGAAAGATTTTTTTGGATATTTGACGGGTATATTATAAACCAAATTTTCTCTTTTATTTTCAGAAAAAGTGTTATTTTTCCCCTTTATTAATTGTTTGAAAATAAACATGATTACTATTTTTTTATAGAGGAATTTTACTGGTAGAACACCCAAATCCCTATAGTTTCGGCAATACTATGACAAATCTTAAGTGTTCAAAACTATTGGACCTATCTCCCTAATGGATTTCTATTTGACACATATCCGTCCAGTGTTTGATGTGGTAGAAAAGGTATGTGCTAGATGTTAAGTATATTTTTAATAAACGGTTAATTAATAATAATAATAAAAAATATTTTGTATTCAATTTATCTATAATATAGATTCTATATTATTATTAGGTGTGTTTGATTTCAAATCCACGACCAGACTACCCGTAAGGTAAATTGTACACATTGGACATGATAAATAACATGGCTGGTGGGCGCAAAGTTCTCTATAACAACCAGCCAATTGAAGTATTAATCGAGGCAGCTCAAAAATCAATTGTAAATAAAGGTGAACCAGTATGGTATGGATGTAAAGTGGACAAAAGATTTTCCAATAAGCTTGGATTGGAAGATTTGAAAATGTAAGTCTCTTTAAAATCATCTTTAAATCTGTAATATACACATATTTATTTGAAAATATAGTTCATATGTATATTTATAATTTTAGTCATGATTACTAGCTAGTATTCGGAACTGAAGTATCAATCCCGATGACTAAAGTTCAACGTATGTTAAATGGTGAATCTGCCATGACACACGCAATTTTACTAACTGGAGTCAATGTAAATGTGAGTAAACCGTTTGAAATATGTGAAAATAATCTTAAACCAATGATTTTTTACATCTGTTTAGAATGGTAATGCAACCAAGTGGCGTGTTGAGAACTCTTGGAGTGAAGAACGCCACGAAAAGGGTTATCTGATGATGACCACAGATTTGTTTAAAGAATTTGTGTTGGAAGTGGTCGTAGACAAGAGTCTTTTATCCGAAGAAGTGTTGTCTGTGTTCCAACAAGAATCCCAAGTACTTCCAGTTTGGAATCCAATAGGAACATTAGCCTAATTATTATTGAATTATTATTTTAATTTTTTTCCATTCTTAACTTATTATGCATGAATATTACTTATTGTATACAATTTAATATTTACTATTTATTTTTGTATTCTATAACCATATATTTTTATGTGCTATTAAAATTAAATTCCATACATATATATTTTATTTATGTATAAATGATTACAATTTAGAAATGGCATGCTGATATCTCACTTCAATATTAAATTATTAAGGTTGACACGCACTGCGGCGGTCACAAACGTCTACAAGCAAATCAAATTTAATTTTTAAGAACGAGCGTTTGAAGTTTTCTTTCTCGATTTTGCAAGTAGCAATTTTGTTATTTTATTGTTATTCAAAAGCGAATAACTGTAAATACCTGAAAGGTTTATTGAATGTTTATATTTTCATTTTCTATACACCATATATTTTTTTAAATATTTTGAATTTTTTTTGAGCTGTTAACGGGCATTGTCAGTTTTAAATTATTTTAGATTTTTTTCTATAAACAACAATAAAATTTTATTTGTTTGGTAAAAAAGCTTGCAAATTTAATGATATATTGTAACCTATTGTAACTTGAAAAATATTATAAATACATAATTATAGGCACTATTTCTATTCATAAGCATTTAATGTTCGAATTTTGACAAAAATTATCAAATTTAATAATCGTTTTTTAGTTAAAATTTATAAAATGTTCAACTTTTATATCTAAGGATTGAAAATTTAAAACAAGGTTTCATATAAAAAGGTTATTTATAAATTACTTTATTCACAATAACATCATCAAATACACTTGGTGATATCGGCTAAAATGCAATTTACCACCCTATGCAAATTTTTCGATTTTTTTTTTATTTTATTATTATTTAAATATTTAAGAACAATGGTGTAATCAGAATTTGTCGATCGGACTTAGTTTCGAAGTTCACTATTTTACGATTTTTGTAAATATTTTTCACGTTAGTTTTCCATCTAGATATTTTTCCGAGTGTGACGGTACATAAGTGGGTCTGCCTTTGGCACAAAAATATTAAATCACAATGAGGTGCAAAATATAACGTAAGCTTTTTATTAAATTGTATGTAAATAGGTAACTATAGAAATTAGAAAAACATTTTTTTTTGCTTCTATCCTTCATATGGTTTGCTGTATTATATAACATATCAACTAATACCTAGTTAAAGAAAAATAATCTTCAAAAGGAATAAAACCTTTTAATGGGAAAATCAGGATTATAGGGCAAACGGGAAAGGGCTAAGCCACAAAATGACCAAGTACACTTTACGTATTTCACTGATAGAGTTAATTATTGTTTTGTATGGCATTTGATAAAATCTCCAGTTGGGTGTTTAAAGTTATTGACACACACCAAAAATGTGTCGTACTTTCTTCCAGTTGCCATTTTTCCTATTGTAGTATTATGTACATCGGTGATGCACCGTCAAATATCGTCAAAGGTCAAAGAAAAGAAATATGCCAATATTATGGAATAAAACAGTGGCGTAACAGGGATTTTTTTTGGGGGGGACGGGCTGTTCAACTTTTACACATTAAATACGTACTATAAAGATAGCTGAAAAGTGTTAATACATTTTTAGATATTTTAAATACAATTTAATAGACTTTTTGAGCGACTATCGTAGACCAATAAAATAATTTTTAAATTTTCCTAACATTTCCGGTCGGAGCTACAGTCCCCCAGCACTGTCTAGTGTCTACCCATGGCGACGCCGCCAGAATAATATCATAGAAAAATCAACTTATTACGTTTTACTCCATGATTTTCACGAGACATGATAAACAATATTACAAACGGTGTTGTTTTCAATTTGTTTAGGTTATATATTATTACATTATTACGTCGTTTTTGTGTAATTCAATGTAAACCATTATACTTTTTGTGACTAAAATAATTCGCTTATAGCCATTACAACTGTGTAACTTGTTAAGCATTTCTTCAACAAGTTGTGTGGTGGAGTCTTCGGCGTCTCTGTCAAACCTCTCCTAGTCAACAGTCAACACATCAACGTCGTAGACGGCACTCTTGTGCAGTGCATTTGGATCGGAGAGCTACGTCGTCGGACCCAACGGAGAAATGTACGAACTACCTAGCCTGGTGAAAACGGCGTACTACGCTTGTACGAAGATCGGCCGCAAGAGGTACGACGAGCTGAGAACACCGGACGTCGACCTGCAAGCTTGTTGCAAGTTGCTGTTTGAAATTTTAAAAGTCGACAAACACCGAAATCGGGGCAACGATAGGCAGACCATGTTCAGCAGATCGAAATTCCCCAAAAATAAGCATGAGTTTAAATACATATGCGAAAAAGCGGCGTTGCACGGGCACATCGATTGCATGAAACTTGCTCACGAAGTCGGCGTCCCTTGGGACCGTATGCCAGGACCGAACGGTACGGCGTGCGACATAGCTGCGCGTTTGGGCAATCTTGAGTGTCTGCAGTACGCTTCGGAGAACGGGTGCCCGTGGGACGAATTTACGTGCAGAGTAGCCGCGGCAGGTGGACATTTGGACTGCCTAGTTTACGCCCGGGAGAACGGCTGCCCGTGGGACGATGAGACGTGCAGTGACGCCGCAAAAGGTGGACATTTGGACTGCCTAGTTTACGCACGACAGAATGGCTGCCCTTGGGACGCTGAAACGTGCAGCAACGCCGGGTCCAAAGGTCATCTGGACTGCCTAGTTTACGCACGACAGAACGGCTGCCCGTGGAACCAGTTTACGTGCTCCTTGTCCGCGAAGAACGGTCACATGGAATGCTTGGTCTACGCAAGGGAAAACGGTTGTCCCTGGGACAGGAGTACGTGCTTCAGCGCCGCGTCTGGTGGTTTCCTGGAGTGTCTGGTTTATGCAAGGGAAAACGGCTGTCCCTGGGACGTGGACACATGCAACAACGCCGCGCAGAACGGTCACCTTCAGTGTTTGGTGTACGCCAGAGAAAATGGTTGCCCATGGGATATCAGTACGTGTAGCTGGGCCTCGTCGAACGGTCACCTTCAGTGTTTGGTCTACGCACACGAAAATGGATGTCCCTGGGGCCCCGAAACGTGCAGCAAAGCCGCGATCAAAGGTCATCTGAGGTGTCTGGTTTACGCACGGGAAAATGGATGTCCCTGGGACTTTGCTACGAGCGCAAACGCGGTGCTCGGAGGTCACATGAACGTCCAAGAGTACGCTCGAGAAAACGGATGCCCCAGGATCGAGGGGTTTGACGACTTCGATCAATATATTCACTTGTACGCCATGTACGGGATTCATTGGTAATATTTTGGATGTATTGACATCATATCATAATGAAGCTACAAATTCTGAAATACAAAAGCCTAAAGCAGCGGTTCCCAAACTATGCTTTGCAATGGTTTCCCAAGGGCTCCGTTCATTATTACATAAAAAACTATTATTATTATTACATATCTCCCCATTGGATTTCTATTTGACACATGTCCGCCCAGTGTTTGATGTCGTAGAAATGGTATGTGCTAGATAACCTAGTACTATGTTGTATATTTTTAATAAACGGTGAATTAATAATAATTATAAAAAATATTTTGTATTCAATTTATCTATAATATAGATTCTATATTATTATTTATTTGTGTTTGATTTCGAATCCACAACCAGACAACCCGTAAGGTAAATTGTACACATTGGACATGATAAATAACATGGCTGGTGGGCGCAAAGTTCTCTATAACAACCAGCCAATTGAAGTATTAATCGAGGCAGCTCAAAAATCAATTGTAAATATAGGTGAGCCAGTATGGTATGGATGTGAAGTGGACAAAAGATTTTCCAATAAGCTTGGATTGGAAGATTTGAAAATGTAAGTCTCTTTAAAACATTTTTAAAACTGTAATATACACAAATTTATTTGAAAATATAGTTCATATGAGTATTTATAATTTTAGTCATGATTAGTAGCTAGTATTCGGAACTGAAGTATCAATCCCGATGACTAAAGCTCAACATATGTTAAATGGTGAATCTGCCATGACACACCCAATAGTACTAACTGGAGTCAATGTAAATGTGAGCAAACCGTTTGAAATATGTGAAAATAATCTTAAACCAATGATTTTTTACATCTGTTTAGAATGGTAATGCAACCAAGTGGCGTGTTGAGAACTCTTGGAGTAAGGAACGCCACGAAAAAGGTTACTTGATGATGACCACAGATTGGTGTAAAGAATTTGTGGTGGAAGTGGTCGTAAACAAGAGTCTTTTATCCGAAGAGGTGTTGTCTGTATTCCAACAAGAACTCCAAGTACTTTCCATTTGGGATCCAATAGGAACATTAGCCTAATTATTATTGAATTATTATTTTAATTTTTTTCCATTCTTAACTTATTATGCTTGAATATTACTTATTGTATACTATTTAATATTGTATTCTATAACCATATATTATTATGTGCTATAAAAATTAAATTCCACACATTTATATTTTATTTATGTATAAATAATTACAATTTAGAAATTTCATGCTGATATCTCACTTCAATATTAAATTATTAAGGTTGACACGCACTGCAGCGGTGGCGGTAAAATTATCGTCGGCTTCATTTTGCCTTCCCCGCTACCGCTACAGTGTGTGGGAACCTTAAACTATAAGGTATAATAAAGATTATGTTCTGAATTTTGGTCAATAAATTCACTGCCGGGAAGAACAACATTAAAATTAAGGAAAAACAGGAACTTTTAAGCAAAATCATATTATTATGACATTTGAAAAATATAATAATCCTTAGATACAGTTTTTTTTATAATTATTTAGAGTTCATTTGGATAAAATACGGAAAAATCAATTAAATTAGTAAATTATTTTGAGTTTAGAATTCATAAAAATTAATGTAATACAAGATTATTCATAAGTATTTGTCTACCTTTATAAAAAACAAACGTCTACAAGCAAATCAAATTTAATTTTTAAGAACGAGCGTTTGAAGTTTTCTTTCTCGATTTCTCAAGTAGCCATTTCGTTATTTTATTGTTATTCAAAAATGAATAACTGTAAATACCTTAAAGGTTTATTGAATGTTTATATTTTCATTTTCTATACTCCATATATTTTTTTTAAATATTTTTACTTTTTTTTGAGCTGTTAACGGGCATTGTCGGTTTTAAATTATTTTAGATTTTTTTCTTTAAGCAACATAATAATTTTATTTGTTTGGTAAAAAAAGCTTGAAAATTTAATGATAACTTATTGTAACTTGAAAAATATTATAAATACATAATTATAGGAACTATTTCTATTCATAAGCATTTAAAGTTCGAATTTTGACAAGAATTATCAAATTTAATATTTTTTTTTAGTTAAAATTTATAAAATGTTCAACTTTTATATCTAAGGATTGAAAATTTAAAACAAAGTTCCATGTAAATAGGTTATTTATAAATTACTTTATTCACAATATCAACATCAAATACACTTGGTGTTATCGGCTAAAATGCAATTTTGTAAATAGGTAACTATAGAAAATAGAAAAACATTTTTTTTTGCTTCCATCCTTCATATGGTTTGCTGTATTATATAACATATCAAATAATACCTAGTTAAAGAAAAATAATCTTCAAAAGAAATAAAAGGTACACTTTACGTATTTCACTGATAGAGTAAATTATTGTTTTGTATGGCATTTAATAAGATCTCCAGTTGGGTGTTAAAAGTTATTGACACACGCCAAAAATGTATCGTAATTTTTTCCAGTTGCCATTTTTCCTATTATAGTATTATGTACATCGGTGATGCACCGTCAAATATTGTCAAAGTGTCAAAGTGTTAATACATTTTTAGATATTTTAAATACAATTTAATAGACTTTTTGAGCGACTATCGTAGACCAATAAAATAATTTTTAAATTTTCCTAACATTTCCGGTCAGAGCTACAGTCCCCCAGCACTATCCATGGCGACGCCGCCAGAATAAAATCATAGAAAAATAAACTTATTACGTTTTACTCCATGATTTTCACGAGACATGATAAACAATATTACAAACGTGAAACGGTGTTGTTTTCAATTTGTTTAGGTTATATATTAATTATTATTACATTGAGTCGTTTTTCAGTTTTTGTGTAATTCAATGTAAACCATTATACTTTTTGTGACTAAAATAATTCACTTATAGCCATTACAACTGTGTAACTTGTTAAGCATTACTCCAACAAGTTGTGTGGTGGAGTGGTGGTGGAGTCTTCGGCGTCTCTGTCAAACCTCTCCTAGTCAACACATCAACACATCAACGTCGTAGACGGCACTCTTGTGCAGTGCATTTGGATCGGAGAGCTACGTCGTCGGACCCGACGGAGAAATGTACGAACTACCTAGCCTGGTGAAAACGGCGTACCACGCTTGTACGAAGATCGACCGCAAGAGGTACGACGAGCTGAGAACACCGGACGTCGACCTGCAAGCTTGTTGCAAGTTGCTGTTTAAAATTTTAAAAATCGACAAAAACCGAAACCGGGACGACGCTAGGCAGACCATGTTCGGCAGATCGGAATTCCGCTACGAAAAGTATAAGTTTAGATACATATGCGAAAAAGCGGCGTTGCACGGGCACATCGAATGCATGAAACTTGCTCACGAAGTCGGCGTCCCTTGGGACCGTATGCCAGAATCGAACGGTACGGCGTGCGACATAGCTGCGCGTTTGGGCAATCTAGAGTGTCTGCGGTACGCTTCGGAGAACGGGTGCCCGTTGGACGAAATTACGTGCAGTGAAGCCGCGGCAGGTGGACATTTGGACTGCCTAGTTTACGCACGAGCAAACGGCTGCCCGTGGGACACGGAGACGTGCAGTGACGCCGCAAAAGGTGGACATTTGGAGTGTCTGGTCTACGCACGACAGAACGGCTGCCCTTGGGACGATGAAACGTGCAGCAGCGCCGCGTTCAATGGTCATCTGGAATGTCTGGTCTACGCACGACAGAACGGCTGCCCGTGGGACGTATTTACGTGCTCCTTGTCCGCGATGAACGGTCACATGGAATGCTTGGTCTACGCACGGCAAAACGGTTGCCCTTGGGACAGTGGAACGTGCAGCAGCGCCGCGCTCGGTGGTTTCCTGGAGTGTCTGGTTTATGCAAGGGAAAACGGCTGTCCCTGGGACGTGGACACATGCAACAACGCCGCGCAGAACGGTCACCTTCAGTGTTTGGCGTATGCCAGAGAAAATGGTTGCCCATGGGATTTCAGTACGTGTGGCTGGGCCTCGTCGAACGGTCACCTTCAGTGTTTGGTCTATGCACACGAAAACGGATGTCCCTGGGGCCCCGATACGTGCAGCAAAGCGGCGATCAGGGGTCATCTGAGTTGTCTGGTTTATGCACGGGAAAATGGATGTCCTTGGGACAATAGTACGAGCACAAACGCGGTGCTCGGAGGTCACATGAACGTCCTACAGTACGCTCGAGAAAACGGATGCCCTGGGATCGAGGAATTTGACGACTTCGATCCTCATATTTTTTGGTTTACTCGGTAATATTTTAGATGTATTGACATTATATCATAATAACGCTAAAAATTCTGAAATGCAAAAGCCTAAATTAGCGGTTCCCAAACTATGCTCCTCAATGGTTTCCCAAGGGCTCTGTTCATTATTACATAAAAAACTGTTATTAAAGCAAGTACATGACAAAGCAGTCAAAATTATTAACCATGTTAAAAGTTTTAATCTTTATTCAAGTCATAGTTATTACTTATTACACATAGAAGTATGGTTTTTGTCGCGAGTTTGAACATTTATATACCAGATATAAGTCTTGAAGTGTGTATATTATCTACACAAAAATTCATCATTTAAACCTTAAATATTCTGAATAAAATGTAAAATAATTTATTGGTTTTTCAATTATTTTTATCTTTTATGTGAAAAAAATGCATCAACCTCTTTCTTAAAATCAAAATTTTTTTATAAATAATAATATTATTATACAGTCTTGACACTTATTTCATTGTCAATTTTCCTCGAGTGTAAGAAAAAATGACAAGACAATAAACTATGTCTTAACAATTTTAAAGTGCAACTAAGTGCATTTATAACTGAACTGTGCTGATAAGTGATTATAATTTATGAGTTATTTTAATTTTCTGAGTTATAAAGGAATGAATTAGTTAATATTATGTTTAAGTTAAACATAGTAGTTAATTGTTTGTTTGCAAATCAAATCAATAAATAAATAAATCTTTAAAAAAAAAAAGTTAACAATACCTAGTAGTAAAATAATTGATTGTATTATATTTTTAGAATTTTTACTAATTGGATAATAAAGTTATATTTTTGACATTAAAAAATTAATTTTGTTGACTAAAGAAACCTAATGACGATGGAGGGCCGTGGGACAAGTTGGCCAAGTGTGGTTTGATGAAAAAGAAGAACTTCCCTGAGGCGTTTGGTTGCGAAGCTAGCAATACTCTTAATGTAATACTGCACAGCAAGGTAATATGTCATAACTCATAATTAACAATTTATAGAGGTTATATAATAAATACATTTTTACATTTTAAGCTTTGAGAATTTGCCATCATTTTGCATAAGCTTGTAAGCGACATCGCTACTGACAATGAGATGAGATTAAAGCCAAAATCAAAGAACAAATGGAAGTTTGTTGATATTTGTCTGATTATACCACCAGCTACATTTGAATGGCAATATTATGACAAATCTAAAGTGTTCAAAACTATTGGACATATCTCCCCATTGGATTTCTATTTGACACATGTCCGTCCAGTGTTTGATGTCGTAGGAAAGGTATGTGCTAGATAACCTAGTACTATGTGGTATATTTTTAATAAACGGTTAATTAATAATAATTATAAAAAATATTTTGTATTCAATTTATCTATAATATAGATTCTATATTATTATTTAGGTGTGTTTGATTTCAAATCCACAACAAGACAACCCGTAAGGTAAATTGTACACATTGGACATGATAAATAACATGGCTGGTGGGCGCAAAGTTCTCTATAACAACCAGCCAATTGAAGTATTAATCGAGGCAGCTCAAAAATCAATTGTAAATAAAGGTGAACCAGTATGGTATGGATGTAAAGTAGACAAAAGATTTTCCAATAAGCTTGGATTGGAAGATTTGAAAATGTAAGTCTTTTTAAAATCATCTTTAAATCTGTAATATACACATATTTATTTGAAAAAATAGTTCATAATACTTCATATGTATATTTATAATTTTAGTCATGATTACTAGCTAGTATTCGGAACTGAAGTATCAATCCCGATGACTAAAGTTCAACGTATGTTAAATGGTGAATCTGCCATGAAACACGCAATTATA